TGGATGGATGGATGGATGGATGATGGAGTCTTTCAGTCTGCTCTATCTAGAACTCCTCAGAAGAAATGTTTTAGTTTCAGCTGCTTTAATTTCGTACAAAGTCTTCTTTACCTTTGACTATCTGATTATTAATCGGGAAAAACAATCATAGACAGATTAATCAATTAGTAAAATGATCGTTAGTCCAGATTCAGTCCTAATGGCTGCAATGTTGAAACTAACAGCTTCCTGGGAATGGAGTGGAAAAAAAAACCAGAACAAAATGATTTAATTAAAGCAAATTACTCCAAAACATACTTAAAGTAATCCAGTAAATGTAGTGTGTTATTTCCAGCACTATTTTCCCCTCAGAGTGAATCTCCTCCATGTTTAGCGGTATTGATCAGAAAGCAGGTCCTGACTTTAAATCACCTCCAGAAACATGGAGATTCCCTGTGGTCCTCCTGAGGAACGCGTTCCATCATGGCGTCTGATTCTGTTTAGTCTAATAAATGGCTGGTAGGGGAAAATCCTGACTTTTCCAAACGTTTCCCCAAAACTTATGATATACATCAATTACTGTGATAATCCCAGTTATTATTCTAATGTCACTCAGTTGTTTCAGATAAACAGACATTTTCTGAGCCTCTGACCAAAAGAAAACACTTAGAGATTTACAGCGACCTTTAAAAAAGGAACACTAAGTAATGACGAGCAGCCATCTTTGCTGCAGCGGTTTTCTAACTGACATGAATCTGAATAAAACGCCACACACCCAACATGTAGCAGATTATCTTTGCTCTGAATTAAACCCATTTATCTGGGGTTTTGTGTAGATTAGCGTTTCTTTAGACCTCCAGTATTTAACCTGGCTGTGAGGCAGGACAGGTGCAGATGGTGAGTTCCTTCACGCTCAGAGACAGTGGGTAGGCGACCGGGCCGATATTTTGTTGATTAAAGCCGTGGCTGAATGCTCCAAGGTTTGTTTGAACAGATTTAGATGCGATTGTAGATGATGCTATAGCAACAGATTAAATAAAGTGAGGATTGAAGCTGATAGGAAATGTGATCCAGGTCTGCAGCTCTCCTGATGTCAGCTCTGCTTGTGTGTTTATTCCAGGAGCCTAAGCAGGGCGGCCATCGGCCGGCACGCAGCCTTGTTCTGATGAACGTTTCCTCTCTGACTCTCCATCAGATATCCACTCCAGCTAATGTAGTAATTATGTTTGATCTTTCATTAAATGTCTTTTGGTGTAGCTACAGGCACTCGACTGCTAATAGAAATCCATGTTCATCGAGCTCGCTGCTTGTAGAAAGTGTGAATTAAACGGATTTCATCATCCAGATGAAAGATGTGCCTTTGCTGTACGGCAGCCGACATTAAAATCGATTGGGAATATTAGACTAAAATGTGAGTGAATGCCAATTTCATCATCAGTCGGATTTTCAGTGGATTCCTGCAAAGCGTCTCCCTTTGATTTTTAACCTGGGAGTGAACACTGGGTGGAATCAGGAAGAAGGAGGAAGAACATCTAGGAGCTGATATCTATCCCTGCCCAGCGAGCAGCAGCTCTATGAACTCCAACTACTGACCTTGGACGATGAGATGCACCTTGGTGGATTTGGGCTTCTTGTTGGTCAGAATGGAACAGACGTAAGGTCCCTCGTCATGAACGGTAACGTTCTGGATCTTTATGCTGTATTCTGTGACGGCGGTGTTTTCCATCAGGACCACGCGAGGATCCAAAGTCCACTTCTCCCTGCCTGCGAACAGAATGGTGGTTCGGTTGAGCCAAGCCACTCGAGACACTTTGCTATCAACGCTGCATCTGGATGGAAGACAGAGAGAGAAAAGACTGTTAGTGTTTCAGATATTCATTCCAGAGACCTTCCTGTTCTGAAATCAATTGATTTCTCAAAGACAATAAGAGTGCAGCTAAACATGGTCGATGTCAAGGTTGCAACACCAGTCTGCATCAAACCACACCACCAGTCTGAACCACACCACCAACCTGCAACGAACCGCTCCACCAGTCTGCACCGAACTGCAAAACCAGTCTGAAATCCATCACCAGTCTGCACTGAACCGCACCACTAGTCTGCGCCGAACTGCAACACCAGACCCTGATCAACACCTTTCAGGCTCATCCAGTGTTTTAGATTTAAATAATTTTACTGCCTGTTATTTACCAGAATGATGCCAAACCAAACTTTCTCCTTTTGCAATCATTGGACTAAATTCAACCAATAAGCTAGCTGCTTTCCTTAGGATAGTAAAGAAAGTTAAAAGAACGTCAGTTTCAAATTTCCTTTGATCGATCGTTTAAGAAAATGATTTATGGAAAAAGAGTTTTTTTCCTTCAACATGATCGGTGAAACAGTCTTTGCATTGCGTCAAGCAAAGCCTGACGGCCTGAGCTGCTTTGAGACGATTCTACTGGGATCAGAGAAACACGGGAGGAGCTGGAGTGTTTGGGGTTGGAAGCCCTCTGAGCCACAACCCTCATTTTCCTCATTAGATCAATAAATAATACTGAAAACTAATCTGACTAACGAAGCCTTTCACTGATTACTGATGAGCAGGTTTATTGTGGTTTGACCTCAAACTGCCTCTTTCCTTCCATGGGTCAACATAAAAATCTAACAGATATTTATCATAAAAACCTTTTGGAAGATTCTCTGATTAAGGAAGTTATTTAACAAGAAAAATGAGGAGATTAAAATGTGTTTGGCCCAAAGTTCATCAACCAGGCTGTTTCTATGTATGACTGTAAAGAGTCTTTATTTCAGATGCGGAATAATAAAATATCACCAACAAGTGATCAGTTGGACTGTTTTGGAGGATTTTCAGGTTTACTGTGGAATATTTAAACATGAATAATCTAGAAGCAGGTTTTATTTAAAGGCACGGCTCCTTGTTCACATTCTAACCCGCCTCTACTTGGCTTTCTCTCTACGCCGCTTTCATGTCGTAAATATTGCCTGTTTGTTTTTTAAATATAGTCTGCTTCCACACAAACGGCTGCTTCTGTATGCAGGTGGAGGCATCCTGCAGAAATATTATTTCTTCTTTGAATTTCGTTCACACATTATTTCTGTCCTCAGCTCCAACCTGCTTCTCGACTCCTTTCTTCCCTGACGTGCAGCAGCAGCAGCAGCAGCACGGTAAACTTGTCCTGTCATGACTCCAGCAAACAGCAGCGCTTTGACAGACACTAGTGAAACACTTAAAGTGTAAATTAGAAATACTCTCCCTTAGTTCTCTACAAAAAATAAAATAATCTAAACACGTACAGTACGTAGAGGTTTGTCCTATTTGCCCTTTATTTCAGCAGTTTTTATAGTGGAAGAATTTTTGCAAAATTTGAAAAGGCCCGCCCTCTACACTTAAAAAAAATGCACAAAAAATGCAATGCGTGCAAGAGAGTGCACAAGCCCATTCCTCCTGGTGCACGCTCTGTTTAAAAGTCGCTGTTTGCATCACTCATACAAGCTTACTTTCCAAAAGAACATTCTCATGAGGACCAGAATGTTCACATTTTGGACGTAGAAGACAGGTGGTTTGAGAGGGGAGTGAAGGAAGGCATCTATGTTAAGGGGGCTCAGATTTCAGCTTTCAAAAAGCTACAATGCAGCAATAGAGTTGATTCCTTCCTGCTGTCACATCGATCTGTGACCAGACCTGAAGAAGTGTGTGAGAAAAAGATGGTGGCAAACACGACCCCGTTACACAGTCTGGTCAGAACGAGTGAGAAACAGTGTCAGCAGGTTACTGGGAGAAGGTTATGAACGGAGAATATCTGACCAGTCAGACCAGTCTAAAGCTCCTGCATCATCTTTACAATTTAGACCAGAATGTGCCGACATACGGAAAATCCGGCAAAAATGTTTTCAAATGTTGTATAAGTTATGAGCACGCTGAAGTATGCTGAAACCCACTGAAACACGCTGGCACATGTCGACATACGACATTCTACGTCGAGAACTGTTTAGCATGTTCCAAAATTTCCCGCCGTATGCCAGCGTCTGCCATCCGTGCAACATATTCTCATTATCAGTTCGTATGAAATCGTACGAAAAGTTATGCACAGTATTTCGTACGGTTTGGACGTTTTTCCTCGAAAATACAGATCAGTGCGCATGCTAAGCCAGACAGATGAAAAAAGCAGATCCGCGGACGGACGCAAAACTGGGAAAAGAAGTGCAATAATCACTTCTTCAGGTCTCTAACTAGGTTGCTTGCTGTTTTGTATCTTAGGGTCAGGGTTAATTCTATGTTAAATTCTACGTTATTTAATGGTGAGTAAGATGCGCATGCGCAAGGATATCTTGTCTCGAGGCAAGACGTAAAAATACGACGAAATGCGACGAAAAAAAACGTCTAAAACGTACGAAATTACGGTGGATAACTTTTCGTACGATTTCATACGAACTAATAATGAGAATACACTGATCCGTGGTCCATCAGTTCCAGGTCAGTTATCTGATGGTTGACATCCGTTCAGTGTCAGTTCCTCATCAGTCGTGGCGTCTAGCTGATCCTAAACTTCTGCGTAACTTATCCAGAACTTCTCTCCATGCATATCAAGGTATCTGCCGTGTTCCAGACGAGCGCTGAACGTGTTTCTAACTTCCAGCTACTGTATAATGGCGTATTGGCAGCGTTTTGGTATAAAGGGGGTTCAGAGGAGGAAACCGTCAGTTCTCCTCCAGACTTCATCCCCATCATAGGGGGAGCCAGAAGGTGAGGGTGATGGATCCTCCCGGCGGTAAACAGCAGCTAGGTTAATACTGCGATCAAATAAATCTTTTTCTGCAGGCTGGGCGCCTCTGGGCGCATCGCTGCCCCCCTCTGGACACTGGCTTCTGCATCACTTCATGGGCATTACTCTGCCGTGCTTTATGCAGAAGTTAGGCTGTCGTTGGACAGAAGTTCTGGACCCATTATGAATGCTCTATGTTTACACCAGCGCTTTAGGAGATTCTGGGACGTCAGGCAGACGCTGGATAAAACAGCGGGGTATGAGAGGGGCCCTAACCGCTGAACAAACACCAGATGAATGTTTGCACACTTTATAATTGTGAAAAATTCAAGAAAACAATCCAGGAATAAGGTTCTTTAATATCCCATCCTTCCTTTTTAACATTTAAAACAACATTTCTGCTGAATGTAAACACTGTCACAGTTTAATGCAACTTTAATTCCTATTTCTCTTTAAGCTGAAGCTTTTTTCCACTCGTCCCTCTTCTGCATGTGGCACTGCACCCATCGGGGACTTCCTCTGTGGCTAATAACTGATAATGGGGGAATAGAAGCGACGTGGACAGTGAATGAAGCAGTAAAGGCGTTTTATTTATGCCACTAATGCTTTCTGCACAGCTCCCATAGAGCTTCACACAGCCAGCAGTGTCTGCTCCCCCCAGACTGGGAACTTTGTGAACAGCTAAACAAGAAATCCTACATTCCCAAATTGGCACGTCCATAACGAATGAAACGAGTGTTTGTGAAATAATGTGTGAGAGGAACTTCATGCAATGAGGCCAAGAAAGACGATGAGCAACAAGAACAAAACCATCAATGAGGGGAGAGAACAAAGGAACATCAGATGCTATAGAAGATGCTTGTTAAATATATTAATTATAAAAACATAGCCTCCAAGTTCACTGCGCTTCTTTACACTCGTATCTAATTGTTTTCTTACTTTGGATTTTAGTATTTCTAGATGAAATATTGTGCAGGCGTGCTGATGCACACGATGCGACTTAACTATTAACAAACAGCAGAAGAACCAGTAGGCGGTGTGTATGTGAGCAGAGGTAACACATCTCATTAGTGTTCAGCCGAGGCAAAAAAAAAACTGGGTGATCATGTGCAGAAATATTTGCTGGAGGAGCTGTAATGGCCTTAAAAAAATCTAAAGGTCAGCAGCAGTCATTAAACTGCGCCCTTTTTCTTCAAGCCTGCGGATGATGCATATTTTACATGAAATGAATAGCTGCTCATTTGTGAAAAGCAGGGTGGCTCTTCATGATCATGGTGGACGCGGACAGAAAGCGCAGGGTGTCAGCGGTCAGCCCATTCCTCACAGGAAGGAGATGAGGGTGAAAGTCCATCCAGCTCGTCTCTGTCATACCCTGCAATGGCTGCAGTTCCAGGAAGTAGCCTGGAGATAGACAGCAGCCTCAGCTTCTCATGAACCTCGAGCCATTAGAGCCTGGACAGGATCATCCACACCTCGACCACAAAGCTGCTGCAGGAGTCGATGTCTGCTGGAGAAAGGAGGCCCTGCATGCATGAGCAGGATCCAGGGCCCCTATACAGGGCATCCCTTTAATGCCTGACTTACTGTATGGAGTGAATTTTCTGCCAAAAAATTGCATATAAATAAGCATGTTGCAAACACACATAAAGCATATTTCACATAAATATTATCACTCAAATAGATCTTATTGTTGACAAATAAAACTTGTGTTACAAACTCTCCTCTAATGTCACACGCAAATAAAAGTTATTTTTCAAACTGTCCTTAAATGTTGCACATGCAAAAAAATTTGTTTTACAAGCCGGACTCTAACGTTGCACTGAAAATATAATTTATAAATTGTCCCCGAGTGCAAAATAATCTCTGCTCGCATACAAACAGCCTCTCCTCGCATATGAGACAATTCTACGCACACCGTGACGTGATAAATGAAATTGTCATTCTGTTTATTTCTGAAGCACTTTATGCACCGGACAGGACCAAAGTGCTGTACACAATCATAAAATACTATAAAATTATAGAATAGAAAAAAAAAAAAAAACGAGTGTAAAATACATATTAGTATA